GAATACACTTCTTAAGCTGATTTAAAACCATCTTAATGAACTACACCTTAAGTTTTCACATTAAAGAAATTAATATATCAAGAGAAAAAAGTCACAGCCCAGGAGCCTGTAGTGTTTTCTGTGTCTGTGTAGTTATTGTATGTGTTTGTATCAGGAGGGGAGATACGGTGTGGCCTATAATGTTTAAAAAACTGAAGGCCTATATATTCTTAAGATTTAGTTCAAAATCATCCTTCTACCATTAAAATTTTACTATACGTACTAGGCTACATTTACCTCACTTAGAACAATGTCTTACCACCTGGGCCGACACTAAGTGGACCTTATAGGCTCAGGAGTATTAAGGAGTAATGTAAGGAGTATTACATTATAAGAAGCTGGAAGGCTCACATATGAGTTCCTCCCCAATCACCCTGTCCCCAGTGCTGGGTTTCTCAACTTCAATACTACTGACACTATGGACCAGATTATTCTTTGTGGGGTGCTGTCTTACACACTGTAGGATTTTTACCAGCATCTTTGGCCACGACCCACTAGATGCCAGTAGCAGCCCACTTCTATCATTACAACAAAAAATATCTCTAGACATTGCCAAATGTCTCCATGGAAGCAAAACTGTCCCCAGTTGTGAACCACTGCTCTAATGGATGCTGGGTATGTAACAGATACTCAATAAATGTCTGCTGATTGCTCCTGTGTTAAATGAAGAAAGATCACTTACACCCATCACCAAAATCACAGAATAGGGAGCAAGAGACTTTCTACAGGATTTTGCTATATGACCACTTCTCACTATATGCAGTCATAATAAATACCTTAATATTGACAATACTAATGCCCAGCCACTTCTTTTGTAAAATTTTCACCAAGGTTGTTAAGAAAAATAAATGTGGTGGGCATCTGTAGCTCAGTGGGCGGGCAAGGGCACTGGCCACATACACCAAATACACCAAGGCTGGTGGATTTGAACCCAGCCCATGCCTGCTAAAACAACAATGACAACTGCAACAAAAAACAAACAAAAAAATAGCCGGGCATTGTGGCAGGCACCTGTAGTCCCAGCTATTTGAGAGGCTGAGTAAAGAGAATAGCTTCAGCTCAAGAGTTGGAGATTGCTGGTGAGCTATGATGCCACAGCCCTCTACCAGGGTGACAACTTGAGACTCTGTCTCAAAAAAAAAATTTTTTTTTTAGCACAGGAAATAGTTTAAAAAAAGAAATTCAAAACCATACATAACACATTATAAGACTAATAGAGATGTTTACACCAGAGAGTGGTGGTTCTTGATGAAGTATGGGAGGTGAAGGGTATGTCCAGGGGACATATGGCAATGTCTAGAGACAGTTTTGGTTGTCACAATCAGGAGGTGATACTGGCATCTAATAAGTGGAGGCCAAAGATAATGCTAAACATCCCATAATGTACAGGACACTCCTTACAAAAGTTACTCAATAACTAAATGTCAAGAGAGCTGAGACCGAAAGACCATGCCAGATTTAGTAAATTAGACTTCAAGATGGGAACAGAAGGGAATCCTTCAAATGAAAGATAAAATGTAACACACAAGAAAAGCCCATTTAAACACCCAGACTTACATTAATTTGCTTTTTTTCAACAAGGATGTACTTTAGGTTACATTTTTTCATAAAATAAGTTGATAGTGATGATGGTAAATCCGGATCAATAGGCGCATAAGCAGCAGGGACTTGGAGAATTCTGAAGAAACAAACACAGAGTCAGCATAAAATGCCTGTTGAAAATGATCTTCCTTTATGCATTTCTATTTCTCTATGCACTTTACTGTTTATCAGAAATTTCCAGTGTTTTCACTGACACATATCTGATTATAGTTTTTTTATCTTGCTCTGAATGAGTATTTAAGTAGTTACAATATTAAATTTTTATGACTCACTATAGAGAATTGTAAGATTTTTTAAAGTTAATGTATGATAGTGTGATGCACTTGCTTAATTGGTCACTCCTAAAACACGAAACAGGTAGCAGAGTCTAATTCTTCATCTGCCTATGTAAGATAACACAAAAGAAGCCAAATATCCCCATGCAACTTTCAGGGCATGGAGATTCATATGAGACCTATTTCACCAAACCAGGATATCGTAAGGGGGAAAAAAACTTTCAAGTTGTTTTTTATGTAACAATACTCGTATAAACAAGATAAAAGATCACTTATTCATTTTAAATATTTTGAGGTCCACTTTTGGGATGTTACATCTTTACATGTAGGAAATTCTCAATAAATTTTTGTCAATGAATAAAAATAAATTTTTGAACATTTTGTTCTTTATGCTTATATAATTCATCTACTAAGACACAAAGGATAAATATCAACTACTCTAATCCTTTGGGAGCTTCTATTTACTGCAGAATCCTAGAACAGCAATCACCGCTTGAGGATAATATTCTAGAACAATTTAAATGACTGAATATTTTGTAGGCATTTGCTGGAAGTATCTTCCTACTCATATTTCACTTTTTGTGAACCATTATCCAAAACTCTTCTTCTTTCATTTACTGAACAGCTGAGTACCTAAAATTTCAGTCTGGGGATGAGGCTGAGAGCTAGGAGGAGATAGTCAATTTATTTATGAAATCTCTATTTTCTTTGATGTAACAACAAACTTATAAACTGTTACAACTGTTTTCCTTTAACAGACAAATGATGCCCTTACATTTTGGAAATATTTAAATGGTCTATTAATGAAAACTTCTAGTCTCTCCTAAGTTCAGAATAATTTTTTTTTTTTTTTGAGACACAGTCTCAAAAATGTCACCCTCAGTAGAGTGACATGGCGTCACAGCTCATAGCAACCTCAAACTCTTGGGCTTAAGCGATTCTCTTGCCTCATCCTCCCAAGTAGCTGGGACTACAGGTACCCGCCATGACGCCTGGCTGTTTTTTGTTGCAGTTGTCATTGTTGTTTAGCCTGCCTGGCCAGAATCAAACCTGCCAGCCTCAGTGTATGGTGTATGTGGCTGGAGCTGTAACCACTGTGCATGGGCACCGAGTCCAGAATAATTAATTTAAATACTTAAAAATACCACTAGGGGAAATGTGAACTCCTTCAGCCTCTCTCAAATTGACCAAATGTAGAAAAATCTAATAGTAAACAAAACAGTGACTTGCAATATATTCTATTAATAAACTATAAATTAGCGTAGAGTAATATCAAATTTATAGTTCCAAAAAATATTACCCTAAAATCCAAGAGGGTAAATTAATCCCAGGCTGGCAGTAGAGACCAATTTCTCGAATTCCTTCGAAGTCACAGTGTGATAGGAGAAAATTTGATAATCCCGAAGCATCAGTAACCACAGTCTTATAGGTACAACAAAGTGGAGGCTGGTTGTTACATTCATCAAAACACACAGCTACTTTGTCCAAATAAAGAGAGGCAGCCTGGTGCACCAATTCCTGAAGAGTCATTTCACTGAAGTTCATCTAAATGACTTGTAACCGAGAACTCTACAGATATACAAAAATGTTAGGGGAAAAGGGGGTTATAGGGAGCTTAGTGGAGGGAGAAACTTCTCTATAACCATTCCTCACCAAAGTAATTATATCAAAGACACATAAATAAAGACTCTCCGAGCTTGTGCAACATCTACAGTAATGTTACTAAGAACAATGACGTTGAAAACTAATTTGACCCTAATGCTGGGTTAGGGCTTGGAAAAAATCTGGGCGAGGTGTGGCATACATAGAAGAAAATGAAACAGGCAGAAATGTAGACATCCCTGTCAACTGACCACAGTGTGAAAAAGAGGAGACATCTTTTTCCATCTCTGGCAAAAGAAGAGAGGCAATGCATAAAAAAATTAAGCAAGGCTCGGCGCCTATAGCTCAACCGGCTAAGGCGCCAGCCACGTACACCTAAGGTGGCGGGTTCGAATCCCCAGCCCGGACCCGCCAAACAACAATGATGGCTGCAACCAAAAAATAGCTGGGCGTTGTGGCGGGCGCCTGTAGTCCCAGCTACTTGGGAGGCGGAGGCAGGAGACTCGCTTGAGCCCAGGAGTTGGAGGTTGCTATGAGCTGTAATGCCATGGCACTCTACCCAGGGGGACAGCTTGAGGCTCTGTCTCCAAAAAAAAAAAAAAAAAAAATTAAGCAATAAAATCAAATGCATTTATTTATAGAGTTAATAAAGGTTTATTAAGAGTATCTGGAAGCAGGTGAGCTGCCACTGAAAATGGAAAATGGGAACAGTCTATAAAACCAAAATTAAATTTCAGCATGGTGGCCCAGGCCTATAATTTCAGCTACTCCAGAGGCTTATGTAGGTTGGCCTGAAGCTAAGAGTTCAGACTGGGCAAACAATAAATTTAAATGAACTCACTGGCAGCTCACTTAATCAGCAGTCTCTAAAAAAGTTTCTTAATATCGATTAGAAAAAGTAAAATGGCTCGGTGCCGGTAGCTCAACTGGCTAAGGAGCCAGTCACATACACCTGAGCGGGGGGTTCAAATCCAGCCCAGGCCTACCAAACAACAATGACGGCTGCAACCAAAAAGTAGCTGGCATTGTGGCAGGCACCTGTAGCACCAGCTACTTGGGAGGCAGAGCCAGAAGAATCGCTTGAGCCCAGGAGTTGGAGGTTGCTGTGAGCTGTGATGCTATAGCACTCTACCCAGGGCGACAGCTTGAGGCTCTGTCTCTAAAAAATAAATAAAAATAAAAAGTAAAATGTTAATAAAGAGAGTAAAATGAGCCTATAGCTGCTGAGACCATACATTTGAAAGTGCTATGATTTCTTCATATAAATTTAAAAATACAGGCAGGCAAGGTGGATCATGCCTATAGTCCCAGCACTCTGGGAGGCTGAGTCAGAAGGATTGCTTGAGCTCAGAAGTTGGGACACCAGTCTAAACAAGAGTGAGATCCCATGTCTACTAAAAATAAAAAAATGAGCCGCACTTTGAGTTCCCAGCTACTTGGGAGGCTGAGACAGGTGGACCTCCTGAACCCAGGAGTCTGAGGATGGCACTCTAGACCGGGTAACAGAGAGATCTTGTCTAAAAAAAGAAGTCTGAACGCAGGAGCTCATGCCTGAAACCTAGCACTCTGGGAGGCCTAGGCAGGTGGATCGCCTAAGCGAGACCCTGGCTCTCCATTAAGAAATCAAAAACTTGAATAATTAAAATAGGTAAAAGAGATTTGTTTTCCTCCTCCCAGAAATCTACATTGTATTGAAAAAGAGAAAAACTGGGGGCTTTGTGCTGGGCGCCTGTAGTCCTCGCTACTCAGGAGGCTGAGGCAAGAGGATCATTTGAGCACAAGAGTTTGAGGTTGGTGTGAGCTATGATGATGCCACAGCACTCTACCCTAGGCAACAGAGTGAGACCCTGTCTCAAAACAAACAAAAATAAAGTACAAAATAACTCCAGTACTTGCATTTCTTTCTAGTAATCGTTTCTATAAATACTTTTTGTGGTGCGCAGATACAATTTTTAAGCTTTCCTCAGACACACAAATGATCATTATATAAATATAAAGAGCATATAATAAAATAATTGGCAATGAGTTTATTTCACAACATCTTGTTAGTGCCAAGTGGTACCTTCTGCTACCCTCTCCTGCACGTACCAAATTGGGCACACTATGGAATGCACTAATGTAGTACACTGAGACATTTTAACAAATATTTAGTTTACACAGAAAAGATGCTTTTGTTCCTTAAATGCAAAAACTTGTAGTTGATTTTTCCACATGAGAACAATTTGATTAATATACATATTACAGTTTTAGAATTACTTTACATTGAAGCAAGGTGCAGGATTTTAAAATGAATTAAATCTGTAAAGAACGTGCCATTTTTACATTTTTATGACAAATTACCACACTCACCACACATCTGTACAATAACTACGACGTTTTTCTACTTTTAATTCCGAGTCTCCCGGTGGTTGCTACAGAGAAAGCAAAATCCATTCTTGTTATCTCAGGTTTTCATTTTCATTCATGTAGTCCCAAATGTATTCCCACCAGTGGAGAATACTACATCTACTGGATGCCCAGACGTTTCTGAGACCTTATAAGGAAAAAGAAAAGAAAAAAAAAGTCTGGCAAGCAAATCTGATAGGCCATGTGATCATTAAGTTTAAGATATTTGCTACTTTACAAGGGAAGAAGCTGCCATTTAATCACCAGAGATCTTAAGCGTGTCAACAAATTCTACTGCCTTTGAGGACTCTCCCTAGGTTACTACCGACTTTAACGATTAGTAAATCCACCTGCTTAAGTTACATCATACGACTACGTTCAATAACAGTGTACGCTATAGCTTCCAAACATTCTCCGAAAACACACTAGGAAGTGGGCGGAGCAGGTTACTTCCACCTGAACCCAGGGGCAGAAGGTCCGAGGCAGGTGATCCAGATTTCTCACAAGTCAGAAATCACTCACCACCGCGAGACCTTTCCCCAACAGCCCGTCGCGGACACTGCTACACCTCAGAAGCCGTAAAGCTCCCTCGCAGCGCGGCTCACGTGTAAATCTTCCGCGCCGCTCCGTGACGTCACGCGAGCGACGGCGGCCAGGTGGCGTCACTGCCCCGCCCCCTTCTTGAAGCCGTGGAGCCTATTTACGTGAAGTAGAGATGGCGGCTGTTTCTTTGACCTTGTCTTTTCCGGCGTTCCGTGGGCGCACACGGTGTTGGATAGGCTTTGCAAAGACTCCGGAGCTCACCATCTTGGAGCCGCATCCTTTCCTACGTGCGAAAATTCTCAGGCAAGATTCTCGAATTGTTTTTTCCAAGCCAAACTATCCAGCTTTATTAAAGACATTCTTCATAAACAATCATGGTATTTCGGGCAGGACGTGGGCAGACAGTCTTTAACAGTATAGGGCTTTCAGACTCAACCCAATGAAATCTTCATCTACAGGGAAAGTTTAGAGTGACGGTTGACATTTCGCGTTGCTGTAGTGTGTTAACTTTTCACAAGCTGTGAAAAGTTGTTGTTTGTTCCCCGACTTTCAGGAAGTGAAGTGAAAATGGCAGAATTTATCTGGAAACCCACAATTTACAAATGGAACTGCTGTTCTTTCATTGAGGGATGCCATCTTAGTGATGTCACTGAAAGTCCAGATTACTTGACATACTGGTGAACAATTGTTAGGGGTCAGACGTCTCAAGAAGTGTCTAGGTTTGTATTAAGACTACGCTGAAGGCAGAGTAAGACATACAAAACAAATTAGTTTCTCCGCCACAAGGCGTTTTTGCCAAGGTGGTTATGAAGGTGGTTATGTGTCAACGTCAGGGAATCCCTCCTCCCCAGGGCCAAGAGGAAGTCTTTCAAACTAGAAGAGACAGGTGTTTTCCTCAAGGCAGTTCAGCTTTGGACACATTCTATTAGTGACAGATGCCCCTACCACCCCCACCCCCCAATAATGAATCTTTCTGTGTGCTAACAACATAGTTTAGAAAAATATCAAAACAAAATTATGTAATTTCATAAAACCTGGTTAAAAGAATAGTATTTCAAACTGTACAGTCACCAAAAGTACACAGCTATCAAAAATGCACACACTTCACTTGGCATCTCCAGCACCTTCAGCTTTCTATCGGGCATGGCATGGTGGCAACAGGGGTGGGACATCGGCACTGGACAAGGGGATGCAGTGGCCTGTGGGCTTAGGTTTGGTCCAAGGGTCATTCTTACCTTGTTTAGAAGGTTTCAAGATTCTTGGATTTTTTTCTTGTTTTTTAATTTCAGATTTTTCTTTTTGAGACAGAGCCTCAAGCTATCCCCCTGGGTAGAGTGCATGGCATCACGCTCACAGCAACCTCCAACTCCTGGGCTCAAGCGAGTCTCCTGCCTCAGCCTCCCAAGTAGCTGGGACTACAGGCGCCTGCCACAACGCCCGGCTATTTTTTGGTTGCAGCCATCATTGTTGTTTGGCAGACCCAGGCCGGATTTGAACCTGCCAGCTCAGGTGTATGTGGCTGGTGCCTTAGCCGTTTGAGCCACAGGCACTGAGCCTTAATTTCAGATTAATATGAGAGTACATACGATTAGGTTACATAGTTTGCTTTTGTAAATTTTTGATTTTTAAACCATTCCCTTCATAAAATGGGGATAAAAATATCACCTAGGGCTGATGGGAAGGAAGATGAAATCATTGTGAAATGAATTATTGGCATTCAACTAATGACATTTTCTGAAAACTTGCCAGAGACGGCTGGGAACTATAAGTGACTGCAGCCACCACGCCTGCAGGGGAAGTCTCTGGAATAACAAAACTGACATTGGGAAACAAATTGAAGCGATAACTAAGGAATTCAACAGGGCTTGATAGTGGTGTTTAATAGGATCCACAAAGAAAATAAAACAGACCTGAGGTGGAGAGAGGCAAGCCATGTGCCTGAATAGAAGTCTGGGTTTCCAACAGAACTGTTATGTTGGAGACATGTAAGTTATTACAGTTAAGCATCAAGAGCAATAATGCTGGTGTTTCTAAGCTACTGTGTGGTAGAGACAGAAAAGAAATAATCAGGTTTGGGTTTTGGTTTTGGCAAGAGAAGGGGCTGCGAAGGCAGCTCAACATGAACAATAGGACATAGGATGCTCTAGTGGCCTTAGTTGTTGGTGACATAACTTTAGTTCTCATCCAAGTGAAAAATATCTCCCCTTGCCAATTGTACTTTCCCACCAGTATGTACCACAAATTATTTAAACTAACGTGACCATTATTCTTTTGTTTTGGCAGAGTGGCAAACATACATCTTGTCTTTGTCTTTCTATTTTGGGGTGACACCATCATCTTCCCAGCCAGCGGGCTAACAACCTCACCACTTTGTTACTCTCCTGTATCCAATTAGACCCTATGTCCTTTAGGCTTCTCTGAGCCACACTGGAATAAGAGTTGTTTTAAATACATATTAAGTATACAAATACTAATGAAAGCTGATGAGCATAAAAAAAAAAATCCATGCATAATTTTCGTGATGTCTGCCACCACAGATAAACAAAAAAGGTCCCCATAGAATCTAATTATGTAGTGGCCTGTTCAGACGTCCAGCAGGTTTCAAGTTCATGATTACTCAGGTAGAAAATATACACATCTGACATTGTGTTTGAGAAACTAATGCATCAATATCTGGTTCACTAGAAGTAACTGCAATTCTCAGTGAGTTCTAAAGGTGTTCATCAGATATTTGGGTTCTATTTTTACTTTATTTTTTTGAGACAGAGTCTCACTCTGTTGCTTCAGGTTAGATAGAGTGCCTTGGTGTCAACCTAGCCCATAGCAGCTCAAACTTGGGTTGAAATGGCACTCCTGCTTCAGCTTCCTGAGTAGCTAGGACTATAGAGGCCCACAAGGCCCAACTAGTTTTTCTGTTTTTAGCAGAGACAGGGTCTCGCTCTTGCTCAGGCTGATCTCAGACTCCTGCGCTCAAGCAATCCACCCATCTCAGTCTCCCACAGTGCTAGGATTATAGGTGTGAGCTGCCATGCTTGACCTAATTTTACCCTTCACAACTGTACATGCTGCCAAAAAGCAATGACATAAATAAGAAACGATTGTGAAACAAATATTGAATCCCCCAAATCAGTGTTCTTCTGTAATACAACTCATCACATGTGCAGACACATCCAACTAGTCCTATCTCTGTCACCCTGGTAGGACTTGGGAGGAAGGGTAAACTGTAATTCTGGCTGCTGCTTTTGCCATGAGTAATTGAGGTCTTTATCTTTGATCCATGACTCTCACATTTACTGCTATAAAGTAACAGGCTATCTTACTAGCAGTTACAGAGGTTACAATCCCAGATCTTCCTGGATAGTGAAAAATCCTTATAGCACCAGCAACAGTTGCATTATTTCCAAATCTGACTTCTTATACTAAATACGCAGTATTTTCGCAGCAGAGATTGATATCTGATAAGGTTTGGATATTTGGCCCCTCCATTCTCATGTTGAAATCTGATACCTAGTATTGGGAGGTGGGGCGTGATGGGAGGTGTTTATGTCATGGGGAAGGGTCTTACCTTGATTTCCAGTCTGCTGGTCTGCCCTACACATTCTAGAGCAGGGGTCCTCAAACTTTTTAAACAGGGGGCCAGTTCACTGTTCCTCGGACCGTTGGAGGGCCGGACTGTGGGCCCCGGGACGAGTTGGCTGCTAAGCAGGATAGGCAGCAGTGGCAAAAACCCGGCGGGCTGGATAAATGTCCTAGGTGGGCTGCATGCGGCCCTTGGGCGATAGTTTGAGCACGCCTGTTCTAGAGAGTTCTAAGACTGCAACATAGAAACCCCATTTCTGAGTTTCCAGTCTGCTGATCTATGGAATTCAAATGCAAGACTGCAACATCAGCTCTTACCTGAGTTTCCAGTCTGCTGGCCTGCTCGAAAAATTTCTGACTCAGCCCTCACGATCATGTGAGCCAAATTTGTAAACCAAATCAATCCATCTTTCTTTTTCCAGATACTTATATACTATTCCTCTGGAGAACACTAATTGAATAGCCTCACGGTCTGGCAAACAGCTTGAATTTTCTCATCCCTCTCCATTCTTCTTCTTCTTCTTTTTTTTTTTTT